GCGTCAACATGCCGACGCACATGGTACCCCTTAAACGTCAATATGAGACGCTAATCCTCGGGCGTCATCTGACCGAAGCTTTTGACCATGCGTCTAAATCCGACGCACATGGCACCGTTTAGCGTCAGTTAGATGACGCTTCCGTTATGGGTAGGTTTAGGTCTGAGGTAGGGTTAGGGTTAGACCACTAGGAGGCGCTTAAGGGGTACCATGTGCGTCGGCATGTTGACGCATGGTCAAAAGCGTCAGTTAGATGACGCCTTGGGATGAGAATGGGCTGGTAAATCAGAGCACATAGCATAGGACCATTTAAATCAACCTTCAATAACTGGACTTCAACACTGGAAAAGGTGTCCTTAGGCACAGACTTGCATTTAAAAGAGTTTTTAAAAATTGTTGCAACTCCACCACAAAAGCACATCGTAAGTAGTGACCTTTGAGGCAAAGAGGGAAAATATAAATATAATGCATATGCACTTTTCACGATTAGGTAATCGCAGCAGCTGTGATCGTATTTACTATTATTTTTCTGATTTATTTTTCAGCTCTATGACCAAGACAAGTAACAACATTTGGGGCTTTTCTAAAACATTCAAGGCTTAAGCCCCGTTGGCCCACCCTTAGCACCACCCCTGCTTCTAATCGGCCCTTTACTGAATCAACTTATTCCGACTCATTTATCAAACCGCAAGTTATTACTTTCGCCATATCCAAGACTTTATGCTGGACTAAAGGCTTGTGAGAATCAGTGTGACAGTTGTTCAAGCATGACAATATGCCTTATGTTGCCCACCTATAATGTAAAACTGTCTAGCTTTGATTCATGATTGCTGACACAGATGATACACAGAGAAAACCCCCATTTCCAGCCATCCTTCATTGACATTGTCCTTATTTAACAGACAACATAACTATGTGCCCCTTCACCCTCCTCTTATTGCTGTGGCAACAAACTGATTAATAACGCCTTCCTCTAATGTTCTTTGTGAACGACCACAAAGCACCCACTTCCTAAACGGGTCAAGCTTGTAAAATGAAGGAATGTTTGCCACCCCGCCTGGCCTTTTCCAGAGATGGACACGCCATGAACTGCCTGTACAAGAAAAGGACAGTGTGCTCTTCCCTTTGTGTTTTAAGCTTCCTTAAAAGAGGTATTTCTTTCATAATGTCATTCTTATTGCCTTATTTAATACTTGATGAGTGTAGACATTTGATGCTGCTCTTACATTAAACAAATATATATAACTGGGGAGATCTTTTCGTTAGCATAAGTTTCTAATACAGTACTTTTATAAGAAATGGTGGGAAATGTTTTTAATTATCGTAAAAAATTATGTTGAAACTTCCACCCCCACCTGTTTCTGAAATTCACAGGACACCAGTCGCATATTCTCTGAAACCTTTGAAACAATTCAAACTATGTAGTACATGTCAAACCTTTACCAGTGTGGTACCAGCCAATATTTCCAGAACATTCCTTAGTCAGTGATGCACAGGAAGAGTTGTGCAACAATAAGTGCCCAGCATCACAAGAGGCCAGTATTACATAAGAAGTGAGTGCCAGCAGCGGGGAATAATCTGTCCTGGACAGTCGCATATTGAGCTGATGGCAAATTACAGCCTTATAAAATGGATTTATGGGAAGCTAGAGACTAACAAAAAGTTCACTGGCTCTCTGTGTATTTGACTGTATAAGTGAAATACCAAGTTTTGACTTGAAATGATGTTTTATTAAAGTTCGGGAGAAGCACGTTCAGATAATTCATCTAATCGTCATTGGAGGAACTCACCCAGTCAACTCTTCTATGACAGTTTTCCAGCATCCCTCCACCACACCATCTCTTCACTAACTAGTCCTATCCCAAACCTGAGATGGGGGAGCACTCTGGGTTCGGGCCAAATTCTGAGCTCGAAGCCCTGCCCTCGTACAGCACGCCAAATACGCATATCCTTTACTCTATCTAATTATATGTAAGTGTGAACTCGTGAAACTCTAGATGGCACAGGCTGATAGGTCCTTATCTCAGTCTGCTTGCAATCACATCATTCACTATAGGGCAGAGCTGATTGGTTCCTGCTGTATCAGTAGCCAATGATTTCGCGTGCTCAACCGTCAAACACTTGGTCAGCATTTGCTATAACAGTGCAGTGTGCTTTCAGAAACCCTCCACCTTCCCCAGCTCCACCTGTATAGATCTGCTATGGGTAATTCATGCCTTTTTGTATAGCAGCAGTGGGATGTGAGTGTATTGGCAGTAGCAAGTCTCGTACTCGCTCTACATCAGCAGCAATAACAGCAGCAGTGTAGCAGATCTATTCTTCCAAGACCAAACATATCAACATTGTCACATCCATTACCTAAATTTACATTGTATGAGCCACGCATGAAGTAAAAGGACACACCCATGAATGTTGATTCTATATTAAAACACCAAGATGCTTATATTACTTATGGAAAAAAATATTCCAGTTCTTACAATAAATAAAAAAATACAGTATTTGGCATTTTAGCATATTGATGTTGCTGCCATTTTTAAAAGCATTAAGCCATTTTTAAGGTGTTTTAGATTAAGAAAACCCAGGTTTTATCTGTTCTGCTGCAAAAACTTAACATCACACAAACATCAATTTTTTGTTTAATTCAATTCAAATGTGTTCAGATTTCAAAGCAGCTTTACAGAAAATGCATATGTCTACATTACAATTTAGAGTGATCTGTTATCAGAGGTGACTGTGTCCAAATAATGCATTTCAGAAATGTACATATACAAATCGCACGGTGAGCTAACGTATTAATTTAAGGCATGAAGAAACAATGAGTACTGAATACAGGTTGTGAACAATGATTAGAAAATGATATAGAAATGTTAGCATTTGGTGTAAGTTGATTCAGAGTGTGTGTTATCTGAAGTCTTTGCAGTTGGAGTCTTTTCACAGGTGTTGGGCATCTGAAGTCTTTGAAAGTGGCTGGATCTAAACTGGAGCTGACGTACACTAGTTACCTCAGAATGGGCATCCCGAGATAAAACAGAAAAGCAAATGGAAAATAACTAGCGTAGCTGCTGTTCATAACATTAAGCAAATTGTCATGTGCATTTGATATAACTGGAGTACACGGTTATGAGATACATTATGTGAATGCTTGGCTAAAGAGATGTCTCTTTAATCTAAATTTAAACTGGGATATTGAGTCTGAGCCCCGAACAATATCAGGAACGCTATTCCAGAGTTTAGGAGCCAAATGGGAAAATGCTCTCCCTCCGTTATAGTGGACTTAGGTTGCAACCAAAGGTTGCAGTTGTGTTTTGTGACCTTAAAGAGTGTGATGGATTGTAGGGCGATAGAAGATCGGAGCTAAACCATTTAGGGCCTTATAATCGTGTGTAAAAAAAACGTGGGTGTCTTATTTGATAGTGCACTTAAATTTGATAAGCAAAATCAATTTAGTGGTCAAATCAAGTGTTCACCAACTAAGAGCGCTGGCTAAAGCGAAGCAATTTCTTTCTTTTAAGCACTTTGAAACAGCGATCCATGCTTTTATTTCTTCTAGAATTGAGTATTGTAACTTCCTGTATAAACAATTCTTCCTTCTTACAACTGGTCCAAAATGCAGCTGCAAGACTTTTAACCGGTGTTCGCAAACGTGAACATATTACTCCTGTTTTAATGTCTATACATTGGCACCCAGTCCACTCTAGAATTGACTTTAAAGTGCTTCTGCTTGTTTTTAAATGTTTAAATGGCCTCGCCCCCTCTTACCTTTCGGTCTTGTTGTGTATACACCATCCATTCTTAGGTCTGCCAACCAGAGTTTGTTAACTGTTCCAAAGTCAAAGTTAAGATCTAGGAGCGACCGAGCTTTTCCAAACCTAAACTTTGGAGCAGTTTACCGATTCATATTAGAACTGCACCAACATTACATTTTTTTAATTAAAATTAAAAACATATCTCTTCTCTGTAGCCTATTACTTGTGATGTCCCTTGTTGTTTTTAATTCATTGTTTTTGGCTTTAGAAATTTGTACATCACATTGGTCAACTGTGGTTGTTTTTAATTGTGCTTTATAAAGAAATTGAGATTAAGATTGAGATTATAGGTCAGTAGCAATGCTTAGTTATTGATACGAACTTAATAGATAACCAGTGTAGAAATTGGTGATCATATTTTCTTGACCTGGTAAGAACTGCATTTGACTAACTGTGCTTGTTTATTGAGGATGCAGGACAACCAGCTAGTAATGCATTACAGTAATCTAGAGGTTATAAATGCATGAACTATAGTTGTTCTGCAAACAGATAACATGGTCCATAGCTTAGCAATGTTTCTGAGGTGGTATTCATAATGTAGTATTTGTCAACATGTTTCTGTAGTCTTATCTTGTACACTAAATATGACAGGGTTAATAAAATTCATTGTTGATACCTACCAGTGTTTTGTTGTTTGCTTCCAAAAATGTCACTTTCTGGAGTATGATGTCATTAAGGACCTGGATTTGGTTAAAGGGATATTACAAAATAATAATCAGACTGACATCAAAGACATACTCTATTACCAAATGCATCAGTATCGACCCACCAAAAAATGTTGTATTTTGATTTTTTTTTTAAAGAGGGGAAAAAAGAAAAAGAGAAACACCCGAAATATTTTTAAATAAATCAACATTTGCTCTCTAAATCATACAATTTTAATTTTAGAAGTTTTCAGTGCAGGACAAAAATGGCAACTTCCAGTGAAACCAAAAGAGTGAAATTATTTAAAACCCACATTCTTTAGCCATGGAAAAATAACTGTTACAAATAGCATCTTGTGTCTTATTACTGTAATTTGCAGTCTTTTGCAATCGTAAGCTTAGTTTCTTAGCCATTTGATACTGATTACTGGCCAATTCAGGAAAACCCATGCAATTACTCACTGGTGTGTTGTGATCTCTGTGAAGACGAGAGAAGACAGGAGCACAGCTGCTGTTGTGTCTTGTCAACCTAGTGTGATTTCTCTCTCCAAAAGGCAGCCAGTCTATCTGACCGTCAGAAGAGGAGACAGCAAATCCCCAGCAGAACAGGGCCGATGGCAATGACTTCTGCTTATGCTGTGGATTCTGATCAAGTCCTTGAAAGAAAACGAAAAGCTCTTCTAGATCAGGTACTTTCAGTAGGCCTATTCTGTTCCTAATCAAATGACAATCAGAATGTGCTTCATGGAACCATAGAGTAAACATCATGTCAAATCACTCTCAAAGTCCAGAATATTTAAGGTAGCCTGCTTAAATTGGCATTAAATTGCAGCTGCACATAATAAACCCAATTAGGCTTATCCGAATGCCTGGATTGAAAGACTAGCTGCATGCCAACAAAGGCCCAGGTGCAAACACTGTCAGCTGTTCCTGCGGATTACCATAAACACAAAGTGAAGTCCATATAGAAACCTCACCTGTGTGGAAAAAGACCAGTGTGCTAGTTATTTTTCTCGCTTTATTTAGTATCAATATACACTTCACTGCTGCCCTGTAAAAAAATAAGAATTTATTTGATTATCTTTTACAGTTTAATTACTCACACTGGTAGCTGTGGTTGCCAGAAATGTGCATAGGCCTATAAGGTGTGTTCAAGCCGTGACGTAATTACCATAAATATGAGATTTCAACGTCAACAACAAAAGCGTTCACCTAATCGTATAGCTCGTAATTACAATGTGTAAGCTGGAAATATTCTGAGAGCTCCTATACCTCATGTAGGCTATACCAGTAGGCCTATATCATTTTCAGTAGTGTAATCAACAATTAAACAATGCAACTAACTAATTATAAATATTATCTTATTTTTGTCCATAAATATATGAATCAATATTCTGTATGGATAAAAGAGTTGACAACAGTTTCATAAATGAATGGTTCTCTTATGTTCTGTCATACGCTGATGCTTTCGTTCTCTTTTTCTTACATTCTAGCGCCATCTAGAGACATACTACAGAATACACCACTTGAGAGACATGCTTTCATGTCAGTATGCTACATTACTGAGGGAAAAAGTTCAAAGACAAAGGCAAGAGATGAAGCCCCTTGATTCAGATAATTCCAGACTCGGGGAAGGGAATAAAGAGAAGGTACACCCTCCTGGAATCAATGACTAATTAATTATTACTAAATTGTTTTCATTACAGAGAGCACAAAGCAAGAGTAGCGGTTACTAAATGTCGCCAGTAGAAGGCAGTGCTGAGAAAAGAAGACTTGGATAGAAAATGTTTGTTGCATTGTTTTCCTGTGTTTTCCGTTGTATCTCTTTATATTTAAGGAAGCACATTTGGGGAGGTTGAGAAGCTAGTTTATGAACCAATGCTTGGTTTTTGTTTTGTTTTTGTTTTTTTCACTGCAAGGGAAAGTAGGTGTAGTATAATCGAAGCTCTCTTCATTCTTTGCACAGGGTTTATCATTGTGAATGTTGTTACTAGTGCTGTTGTAAACCAAACTCACATGTCTGCCTCAAACTTCCTCTACCATCTGAAATGAGCTTGTAGACATTCAGGCCAAAGCCAATCACACCCACCCGACACGTACACACATCTCCATACCTTTGAGGAACAAGCACATCATCTACATCAGCCATTAACATTTCAAATAAAGTTACCCGCTTTCTGTCTCTCCATCAGAGCAGGAGAAGATGTCTCTGTGCTGAAATATTCATGACAGCCTGCGCCACTAACTAGTCATACGGTATTCATTTCCTTACTGAAAAGTTGTGACCCTAACCTTGCTAAACTCCCATAGAAAAGAAAAACAACTGAGAGAAAATTAGTTTTCCTAGATAGCGATTAAATTGAGATCAAATTGAGACTTTTGCACCCTACTAATCTCACAAGTGTCTCCTGTAGAGTTCAGAAGAAATATCAACAATGTCTCAGACTGTGCTTCTTTGCCAAGACACCAAAGTCTGCAAAAGTTAGAGATCTTACCCTCAAAATGATTTTCATCAAATTCTCCCAAGACCAAATAAATGTCAGTTATACTGTCCACATAGATTTTATAAGTCTTTACTCCTACTGAATTGTCTACTAATTGTCTACTTACTAATTGTCTCTTGTGTGTATTTTTATTCCTCCTAAAAGGACATTTAGAGCCAAAGATATTTCCCTGAACTATAGAGCACCTACTGTATAACCACACACACACAAATTCCTCTGGCTTTACTGAAGTTAAGTTAGGCTAAAACATGTACAAAACAGCATGAGCAAAAATTGATCTAGATGTCCATTTGATGTTGTGCTGTAGTGCAACCCATTGTAGAAGAGTAGATGCGTGTCTCCCCGTGCCACTTTGAAGTGTTACTGAAGTCCAGAGGATTGAGGAAGCCCATCATTATAATATGGGGGAAGTAGTTGGTGTGGACTTGTGATTGACTTTGATTTTGGCCGTCTGGGTTGAGGACAATAAGAGGTAGAAACTGGGGGGTAAGGATGTGGAGGAGGGGTCTTTGGCTTATCAATCTCCTCCTATAAAAGCAAGCCTTCTTCAGTGGGCTGTAATTGTGTCCTCTAATGACCAGCACTGGAGGGGAGGACAAAGGGGGAGCTATAAAAGACTTTATGGGCTGCCAGTAGGAAACCTTTGGTACAAATTGCTGAGCAAATGAAACTGCCCTGTTGTTTCCTCAGCTCAGGCCGAAAAACTTTGTCCAGACTTCATGATGATGCAGGCCGAGCCGTGGACACCTGCTGGGGCCTAATTGGTCCCTGTTGAAGTTAATGGCTTCCTGTGGTTGCATGTTTACTTCTCATTTGTTTCGTATGCCGGGGGTTCCCAGCTCTACTGAAAGACAGGGGTCCTCTCTGGAACCTCGGAATGGGAATGCCAACACATAGGAAAAAATCTCAAATGAAATCTCAATTGCTTCTCTTTGACTCTGGAGAGCAAATTGAGCTTAAATGTCAAATTGTTCTCCTGAGAAAAAGACCTCATGTGTCTCTTCAGTTTCAAAAGAGATTTCAAAAATGCTAGGTGTTCCCAGATTTGTTATCAGTGTCTGCGATCAAGTTAGAGAATCCTTTTTCAAAAGTTTATTCTCTTTCCATCCTCAATTTACTCTTTCTGTCACAGACGTTTGTCACCATTCAGAGGGTCACCAGATCAACCCTCACACACAAGGACGCATACTTGAGGTGTTTACCTAAAACATACCACTACCTGGTGAGACCAGCATTACTCTGCATTCTCTCTCCATGGATATTAACTAAGAGATATTCTGTGGATTTAAGAATGAATGTGCATGATTACTCATCTAATGTAATCTCTGGCCTTCGTGAGGTTCTGGAACTGCAGAAACAGCTGACCCGACTCGGGTATCTTCAGAGCCGCAGGGAGCATGAGGTGTTCAAGGTCTGGGTGGAACAACACAGAAGCACAAGTCAACTAGAGAAGCAACTACAGGCCATTGGCAATGGTATTACAATGTTTTTTCTAGACAAGGTACCGTAGTAATTCCTTGTGATGGGTAATATAACTAATATATATATATATATTACATTGTTGAGAAATAATGTACAAAAATGTTTTTTTTGAGCATCAAATCTGCATATTAAAATGATTTCTGAAGTATCATGTGACACTAAAAACTGGATTAATGATGCTGAAAATTCAGCTTTGATCACAGGGATAAATTAGATTTTAAAATATATTTAAATAGAAAACAGTTATTTTAATTGTTTGTTTTTTTGTTTTGTTTTGTTTTAATCAAGTAAATGCCTTGGTGAGCAGAAGAGACATCTTTTAAAAACATTAAAATCTTACAGATCAAAAACGTGTTACTGGTTTGTACAGAAAAAGGAAATAAATCAAACTTACCAACTCGAATGCATTTTTTTTTTTTTTTTTTTGCTCTAATTCAATTTTAAACTTCATTGACATTTCATGCTAGCAGAGAACAGCAGTAATTCCAGCCCAGACGTGACTCTTAAGGACCTGCTAAAACAGAAGTCTGGATCTCTACCGAAACTTCAGTTCACACCTGATGACTCCACAGCACAACAGGAACATGTAAGTTTCAATAAATCACTGACCTTTGCCTTTCTGCATTCTTTCTTTGATTTACATTTCTTAGCTAATCATTTTTACAAAAACGGTTTCAGTTCATTTTATGAAACGTTGAAATTAGCCTCTATTTAGACTATTTAAAATATTGCTGGGATTAAAGGCCTGCAACTCTCTTCTCTCCCCATGCTGTTTGCACTGCTGGCCTTACACAAACTCACATTCAGCTGGAAGCCATTTTAACCTCAACTCTATGGGAAAAGAGAATTGATTGTTCACATAGCAGTGAGATGACCCTCAGTAGTGGAGGAGGATCTCCTTCAGTCAGCACATCATGGACAAACATCACCCAGGGGAGAATGTCTAATTCATTTCACACACAAAAGAGACTGACCAATTTGGCTTGGGATGTCACATCATGCCGGAGGTCAGGGAATGAGTTAAACTGTTTGGAAAAGATCTCCTGGACCTTAAACAACCTTTCCAAGAAAGAAAAGGTCTTTCTCTATATAGATACATCTCAGATTTCCCCTACAGAGCAATGAGTTTAAAGATTTAGATTTTTCTCCTGAAGAAATTACCTTAGCTCATTACCTTATATGTATCTCCTGTAGATTTTCGGAATAGATTTCAACAACATCCCAAAACCACGCTCAGGTTTCCAAAGGGTTACCGTGATTTTGCCAAGTAAGACATGTTCCTGAATCAACATATGTTGTTGATCCTGGAAAAACATTCCTGTCCAAAAATGTAGTTCTAACCCAATTCCTACCTAAACCTAACATATCCCTAAAACCAGAGGGAAATGATAGGTGAATAACACTGATGTAGAAGCACATAACCCTGTTTGTAAACCTAAACGTGACATAAACTGTAAACTTGTCCCTTAAATGTGATTAGTTAATTTGAATGTTGTTTAATTATCAACAAAGATTTTGTTCCAGGAACTTGTTTGGTGAAATCTCATTCACCATTTGGCAAGATACAAAAAGTCTGTTATTGAGAGTTTTCCATGAACAATTTAAATATTAAATCACACATTTCTCGCCATGTTCTTCCAAGACCTAATTATTTGTGCTATGCTAATCCACACTGATTTTATCGCCAATAATGGTCTTGTTTGTTTCTATTCTTATTTCCCCTAAAGCATTTTAACTGAGAAATTTGTAACATCTCGTGAGCTATGAAATAGCAACCTCTGAGCAATTGGATTTCCCCCTGTGTCACTGTTACTAAGTTCTATGTGGCAGGCTGGTTACTTAGTTCTGCACAGCTTGTCAAACTTCACATCCACAATAATCACAGCTTTGAGATCTATAAATTATACATTTGAGTCTATTTCTTTTTATATTTACCTTAGATTGTTTGGTTTCTATGAGAGATACTGAGTCACAACATCTATCTGCTATGTTGAATTTCACACTTTTTTATTTTCAGGATGGACAGTCAAATTTGTCTGAGGAACATTGCTCCATCATCACTTGGAGTTGAAAGGAGAAATACACGGAACAAATTGTTCCCACTATATTTGTCGACGGCACTTACACACCCAGAACATTTATTTTGAATCTAATTTTTGTGGACTCTTCTTATAGCTAAAATCATTCATCAACACAATCTTCCTTTCCTACACAAATTAATTTTACTCTCATTCTCCCTGTCGGTGTCTAGTGTACAGGCTTGTTAAAGGTCTTTTAGCTGCTATACAGTGCTTTGAGGAAACACTTTCCTGCACTGATTCACTCTGCAGGGCCAGTTTGCACCCAGCAGACAAAGTGTGTCCTCACCCGGGTGTGCAGTGTTATCAGGTGTGAGCTGGGCTGTGTACTAGGATCTTCTTGAGAAGTATCACATAATTAGGAACATATAACCCTATGCTCACTCCAAGGATTGCATGCATAAATAGCTCATGTATCTGGCCATCTTGCAAAGTGGGAAAGAGGTGTAGATCTGTCTCAGAGAGAGTAGAAAAGCAAAATCATGTCAACCAGGCATTGTGGTCAGTTCCTCCTCAATAATTTAAAAGGATGATTAATGAAACTGAAAAAAAAACTCTCAAAGTGGTGTTGAAGTGAAATCTGAGTTATAATTTAAATGTTGTCTGTTTGTAATGTCTGCTCTCTTCACAGATGCCAGTCTCAAGAGGGGGTGGAGGAGGGGTGAATGCTTTCCAACTGCAGGGCAAACAGACCTGGGGACAAGACGAAACTGAGCTCATGTTTCCTGAAGTAAGTGTCAAACCACAGCGTCTCTGATCCCAGTAAGCAGGAACATGGAGGCAAACACACCTGCAGCAGTTGTGTGTTCTGTCATTCTATTACACACAAACAGGGGCGGATCTACCGGGGTGGCATAGGGTGGCAAATGCCACCCTAAAAGAAAGCCTTGCCACCCCTGCTGCCACCCTAGTTGGCAGCAACGAATTAAAAGTTATGGCCAATTTGACAATTTACGAGCGCGAATCTCCCATGTCCGACTGCAGTGAATTCGCTACGTGCACAATATGACGACCGTTGACGTTCGTACTTTATTGTGTGGGCAAATACTTCCGGCGAAAACTTCCGGTGATCTGACCGCGAGAGCGGGAGACAGCAAGAGACAACAGCGACCGATTTCCATTACCAGAGAGATAAGTTTTCAACCCGACCAAATTTTTAAATGCATATCATTTTCAGTGTATTTCACCTGTGCGTTTCTATGCTTTATATTACTGCATTTATTTTGTGCAAGTGAGATGAGTAAAGCACATCTGTTTCATATCATTATATCTGCCTGGTGTTTATAAGCAGTAGCCTACAGTATTCCACAGTAAAACGCTCAAGTTGGGTGCTCAACAAAATAATATATATAAAAAAGGGAAAAAAGGTCGGCACACCTTGGCTCCAAAAGTTAAACGCACCCCTGCCTTTATACTCACGCAGGGCTGGACTGGCCATAATATTATAACTATTATTATATAGTAGTGTAATGTAGACAGACACTATATCACAACTAAAAGAGTTTTGAGTTTTTCTTTGTTCAATTTGCACACTGAATATGGGTTGGAGCTCTTTATTTTGAACTCTCAAAGTGTACCAGATTGATGAATTTAACATTAAAAAGCACAAAATTTTCTTATGGGGGAGCATGCCCCCGAACCCCCCTAGAGAGAGAGAGGTGCACTCACCGCAGATTTCCCAAAATCCTGTGGGAAAAAACGCTATTGCTATACCAATGCAGCTTATAGCTTGTTTTAGCATTCATCACTGTGGAGTGGGGCTATAATTTAACTTAGTAGTTATTTCATCTGTTAACTCTTACTCACTCCTATTCACTTATGACATTAGTGGTTTTTATAGGAGTTGGTATACATATTCAAGGGAGTGCAAAGTTCGGTTGTGTTTATGATCATATGTAGTGGGCCAGTCTGGGCCAAAATGCCCCGGCCGATTTTTTGTCCCAGTCCAGCCCTGTACTCACAGGTGACCCCAAACCCCCCCACAAAAAAAGATACAAATAATAATACAAATAATGCCCTTTTGTATACATACGATTTCTCATCAAACTGTGTTGACTGTGATTAAATTTAGTATATATATACGTCTGCCATGTTGCCACCCCTCAAAAATTCCTGCCCCCCTCTTGCCACCCCATAAATATTTTTCTAGATCCGCCCCTGCACACAAACATGCATAACCCTCACAATCATCTACACTTATAACTAGATACTTTTATATTGAAAATTTAAAAGAAGAATTCATATTAAAAGAAGAATTCTAGATATTTTATTTCTTTTTTTAAAAAGGTTCCAAATAGCAAACCAAAAGCCTAAGTCATAAGATAACCTTTTTAAGCACCTCAAAGAACAGTGTTTGCACAACAGTACTGATTTGATATTGCTCAAATCAGCCCTGGTTGCAGGGTTTGTTTAAAATCTTTTTGAACATGCACAAATAAAAATAGACACTTTACAGTTTCGAATGATGTCTTACTCTTATCTGACCAATAATGACAGAGTTTTTTAAAGAGCATATTGCAGGTAAAAAAAAAATCTAAATTAATATATAACCTTGTATGAAAATACCAAATGAAAAGTTAATGCAGGATTCAAAATGTTTTAAAACGACATAAGGGCACTAATTTAGTAGATAAAGTGAGCGTTTCTTGGACTGCTCGTAAAAACGGCTTTTTTTTTAAAATCGCGTCATTTTACGTCACGCTAGGGAGCCTCAGCCTCGCCTCAGTGCAGAGTAGGCTGGTATTCAGTGAGAGCGGCCGTGAGTCAGTGTGTTTTCGGTAGTTTTTGTATTTTAATTTATCATCGTCATGGTAAATTATTGTTTGTGGAGGTTGCAAAAACTCCGGCCTGTCAGGACATCGAGTCCACAGGTTTCCATAACAAGAAAAGGGACGGTGTTGTTGTATATCTTTCGTGCCTGGTGCGGTTTGTGCAGGTGAAGAGACGGGATTTCTCTTCCGCATCGGCTTCGAGAAACGCGGTCGTGTGTAGCGTTCACTTCAGATCGGAGGATTATCATCCCGGCGATATGATGGAGTTCAAAATGGGATGCCGAAGCAAAAATATTGATCGTCTAATACTGTACCAATGGCATGAAATAGTGTGATATAGGTAGTCATGCCCTAAATAGAGGCAACTTGTAATTGAAAAACAAAATTACTCAGGTTGTTTAAATATTCAAATCTTAAATTTTCTATTTATGTTATAACCCAGGTGAAAAATATGTCTTAAAAATGTACTTGGGTATGTTTTTAGTACAATAGAAATATACTCAAGTATAGTTTTTATACATTTAATAGTATAAATCTACCCTAAAAATACGAATGTCTGCTGGCCTGATATACGATGGTAATAATCTGTACAATATTGTGAGCACAGTGTATATCGTAAGCGAACGTGTATATCTATAAGCACGTCTCTCACCAAGACACCTGTCCTGTTCTCCACTGGTTCTCACACCACAACTCATGGTGTCTCTGACCGTTCTGTCTGACATTAGTCCTGGCCTGTCCCTGCTCTCTTGACAGCATAGCAGGCTCATAATTGTATGGCTGTGGTCCGTCATATGAGTAAGTACTTCCTCAGCGTCCGAAATGTCATTGCGATCCATTGTTTTCCTGTTGTTTGAATCAACCGCTCTCCCGCCCGTTATGTCACGCCCGCCACGCCCATTTTCAGACGCGGAAGTAAAATTTTCTCAAAAAAACGACTCCAGAAGCTTCTGTAGCGTATTTATAAGTATATTTTAAAGAAAATCTAGTTCCTACATTATTTTTCTATACATTGACTCGTTGGGTCCTCTAACCTGCAATATGCCCTTTAAGTTATTTTCGCTCTTATCAGGAAAATAAATAATGTGCCAGAACGCACTGATGCGTTCACCAACCCCAGAGGGTTACAGTTTTAAACTTCTCCAATTAATTCAATGGCACAGTGTAATTGTGATTGGTCTATTTTCTAGCATCTCTTTGAATTCTGAATTCATCAATTTGCAACATCAAGGACTTTTTTTACATCCAAGCTCCAAGCTGGGATTGAAACGTGATAACCAGCATGGATGCACTAGTGTGGCCCTCTCTCATCCTTCAATGTCGTCACTCCTCCTTTTATCATTCCGGAGCTCCTCAGTGGACTCAATAATGATGTGGCATGCAGTTGTCGCACCTTAGCACTTGTGTCACTGACCTCGCTCTGTTGCTCTCTCCCCTGCCCTGCTTGCCACATATCCCCATCACCACCATGGGCAGCGACGGCTCCTCAGGCTTTGGGCACCTGGCAGCGAATCCCTCGTTCCCTGCTCCTCCCCATCATGGCAGAGGGCAGTAGGCTCTGGCCTCAGACAAACTCTGGTGACTCCTTTATCCCCTCTCGGATGGCAGCAACCCCTCACCAGGTGGACGGCAGCAAGCTCTCCCGTCTCCCCTGTAAATCACTCCAGCCTACCCCCTCGAGCATCCATAGTGACAGACTCTGCTCAGCCCTGCTCGATGGCACAGCGGATTTCCCACAGCGGCGAGGGCTCTTTGACAGGGCGTTCCTTCTTCTTCTCTGGTTTCAGCACCAATCTAAAAGTTCAAGTTCAGGGAAGAAGGAGGTGGGAACCAGCGAACATTAAACAACTTTAACAATAAAATAAACATAAAGAACAAAACGAAAGTAAAGTTGCAGCCCCTCACGTACTATGCTGCCAAATCAAAGCACGTGACAGTGGTCAGAGAAGAGCACTAAGCCTGTTTTGTCGCCTAGCACCATGTCTGTTTTGTCGCCAAGTACCAAGTCTGTTAAGTTGCACTGTACAGCACCATGCCAGTGTGGTTTGTGATGCTCCTACTCTGCCTCCCACCTCTTCTGCCTGTCCTATTTTGGCCAAGGAAGCTGTTCCTGAACTCTCTGCCTGTACCCTATCGATCAAGGAGGCCACTTTTGAACTCTGTTTGACCTCTCTGCCTGTCCCGTATTTGCCAAGGCAGTTTTTGAAATTACTGCCTGTCCTGTCACAGCCAAGTTTTTCACTGTCTTTTAACCCTCTGCCCGTGCCATCCAGTTCTTCTTCCCTGTCTCCGTTGCCTCCCTTCAGCCCTTCGGCTCATCCTTCGCTGGCCCCTCTTATTAGATCGATTCCGCCTTGGCCTTCCTCCCTGGTGTGTCGACCCTCTAGCCTCTAGTCGACCCTCCAAACTTGTCACTCCACCTCAGCCCGTCGATCAGTCGGCTCCACCTTGGCTCCTCGCTCCCTCAGCTCCACCTGGGACGTCATCCTTATGGCTTCACCAGCCTCCCTCGTCCCTCTGGCTCTGACTTGGCCAGTCATCATTTTTGCCATGGACTTCCGAGCCTTCAGCTGTACCTCGTCCTTCCACCCCTTTGATTCCGTTGGGCTCCTCCTTCCATCCAGCTCCAACTCAGTCCTTAGTTGCACCGGCTCCACCTTAGTCCTCTGGCACCCTGGCTTTACCTTGTCCACCTGTCCCCGCAGCTCCGCCTTGGCCTCCAGGATCTTTTGGTGTCGCCCGGTCTCTCAAGCTCCGCTTCTGTCAGTCATCCCCCCCATTTGATTTGCCCTCATGTGTACACCAGTCTTGTTAATTATCTTGTTCAGTTTCTAGTCTTTGATAGATCTCGCTGTAATTTTGGTGGTTGTTCTGTATATCATGTTTTGTTTCCAAAGAGCCTAAGAAGTGCAATCCTGAGTTTATTTTGATGAAAGAAAACTGCTTGCAAATAGATCCAGCACTTTTTATGTATACCTTTTTGACAATATGTTTAATAGTGTTGGTCTGTGAAGTCTAGAAAGTAATCCAGCACATCATCCATACTTTTAAAATATTAAAGTTACTAAAAAAAAATTTGTCTGAAATTCTAAATGTAAAAAAAAAAAAAATAAAGCTTAAGTTTGTTGAAGACTTATTTACTTAGAATATTTTTAATAGATGTTAAAAATATCTCTCAAGTCACCTGAATATTGCCTTAGAACTCTTTGGGATATTGTAAGTAAACAAAAAGTCAAAACAGCCTGAAGGTCTAAGGACTAGCTTAACTGAAAGCTCTAGGAGTTCTTACAGTAAAACATTTTTACTGAAAATCTAGGGTATATCAGGTTTTTTTTAGTTGCCTGCTATGTGAGAACTAGCATTTAGGTAGACTAAAGTTGACTGCAAGACACCAGTAGTTGCCAGAGTTCAGACCGCATAGAGGCGAGGTAAGGAGGTTGAAGAGTAGGAGGAGAAAATCTGGGATGTGAGAGGAACCTGCAGAAACACACGAAAGGTTCATTTTTCCTCACACCTCCCTGCCATAGTGGATGTGTGCAAACAGAGCATGGGTTTGGAAGAGGGATAGGGGATGGCAAACAGAGTTGGGAAGGACCAGTAGTCAGGGGTATTAATCAGCCCTGCGGCCCATTTACGGTGTCATCACATAAGAAAACACAGTCAGAATCACATGGAAAAAAGGTACTAGACATCCATCACATGGACAGACACTGTGTGCATGTGTGAGAGAATATAGCCCTTTAGAAGACATCCAAACATCTCTCACTTACACTTGCATGAGAAAATGTCTGTTTTATTATGGCTGCCTTTGAGCTGAATACTTAATTTTTTTTAGAAAATCAGTATTTCATATTTAAAGCAAAACATTGTTTTGGGATTAATAATAATTGATAATAATTTCAAGTCAGACTCTAATTTGTGTCTCTGAAGGTCCAAGTATACTTAAAGCCAAATCGAAGAATGAACTGGTGTGGCGTCAAAATCAGACTAAAGCAAAGTTTGTTTTGGGTACATTTCAGGAGTTCGAAACAGATTGCCATTTCTCTGGTTAATTTCTTTTGTTCAGTCCGTCAAGATCAGATGGGTGTAAAAATATAAACACAATGAAAAGCTGCTTTATAGTAGAATTTGTTGTTTAGTTGTACTTCCAGTTAAAGGTGTTAAAGTTTTTCATGTATAATAAACATAACCTCCTTGCTATTGTATAAAGTGTTATATAAATAAATGTGAAGTGACTTCACTGGAGTGCGAAATTACAGAGCACATGCAAACATATCCACATCGCTACGATCAAATGTTTTCCTTATGCACATCTTAACCCCAGTAAGAGAGTAGAGAGCCTCATTTCACTGTGGCCATCACCAATCTGCTTCGAGATAGACTCCTGCACCCAGCAGGATAAAATCTTAAAGCAAATTACTCTCTTATGAGTGAGCAGACCCATCTGCCAGCTATATCTCATATTCTTTTCTTTTTTTTTCTGAGAAAAGCGACAGGTCGACTCATTTCACAAGTCACCAGAGCCACCTTTTGTATTTTTTTAAGGTGATCCGTTAGTCAACTCACCAATCTCTACTGCTCATCCCACTCACACACACATTTTACAAAATAAAATAAAATCCTATACCCCACAAACGACCATTTGTAGCGGCAATTATAATCTGTTATGCCCCAACACCCTCTTGGTCGGATTTCGGCTTCCTCTTGGCACAGCGCCCTTGTTCCTGGCAAAGGGTCAGGAGGGCCAGAAAGAGCCTATACCCAGCAAGGAATACATTTCCTGAAGGCAGAGGACTGAGTCCTCGTCTTTCTGAACTTCTTCGCTACTGTCTCAATCGCAGTTCTGAAGAGTCTAATGGGGTGTGACCGGAGCATCAAGGATACATTTTTTCTTTTTATCCCTTATGCTCGACAGGTTCAGCCACAGATGCTTTTCTGTCGCCACGATAGCAGCAATATGGGCCATCTGCTTAGTGGTGCGGAAGGCTAGATCTGTAGCTTTACGCAGCTCCTTAACTGCCTCAGGAGACAACCCTTCGCCCTGATCCAGGTCTCTTAATAAGTCGGCTTGGTAGGGCTCCACCAGCCTGACCTGCCGCCGCATACGCCCACCAGCCACAATGTTGTTTGACATGGCTTAGAAGGCAAAACAGGAGCCTTCATTGATGATCCCAACCCAGGGGAGTGTCTCTTCTACCCGTGCTGACTTAAATACACGAGCGGATTTCTCCACTAACCCAACTCCTCAGTGTGCATGTCCGGGAGAAATAAAAGGCTCGCCAGAGGGGAATGTTTATGACCCGCAAGGAATCGCTCGTCTAAACGACCACGATTGACGGTGACACGCATGGTCTAAACTTTTGCCATTTCACTAATTTTTTTTAAACAGACACTTCACATCCACACAAACGAAGCAGCTTACTAAAGACAACAAAGTTGATGATGTGTAATGCAGGGTCCCCTTTTATACCCACGGGCGCTCACACGCGCTTCAGACACTGGGTTCCACAGACGCTTCCCCATAGTCTGCACATGCTAAACAATGCACCACGGCTACAGAAATGAGATATATCTAAAGACCAGAAATAGAGACTTCATGCAGTCTGGACTCTGGAAATAACTGTCTTGCAGTCAACTACTTTAACACCATTTTTTTACATAGCAGGCAACCAAAAAACGTCTGAGTTTAGAGTCTTTTGGCTAAGGAAGCACCAAGAACATCCTAGAAACCGGATAAACAACACTTAAAAAAAATCTAGTTGGATATTGTTGGTCCATTTGACAAAATAAATATATATATATTTTAGATATATTTAAAATATGTTTAATATACAAAAATGTCCAAAAATACATTGCTATATTATTATAATTTAATATTAGGTATTTTTATATATTTTCAATAAAAATATATTCATATAATATATTTATATATATACATATATATATATAAATTATAATATATATTTTTTTGTATTTTAACATTGGAAATGTATTTTCTTGCCTCTTGAATTAGATTTTGGAATATATTTTAGCATTTAAAGGTTTACAAAAAATTCATTATCTGCCCTTTTTTTTAACAAATATTTAGAATTTATTTGAAATAAATTAATTAAAAAAAACAATAAGCCCGGTAAAAAAAAGCTATATGGGGATATCTAATTTTGGACTTCTTGTAGTTAGGTAAGTGTTGGCATGTAAAATCAGTCATTACTTCTCATGTAAACAGTTGAATTTGATCTAATGTCACTCTCACTTTGGTTTCCAGGGATTTTACAAAATGTTACACCTGTTCTCCACTTACATTACAATGTGCTTGCATATGCATGACTAACAGTCAAGGCTTTACCACTGCAATTGTTGCTGTTGTGTAGAAGCTGTAGACGTGAGGTCCACCTAACATCATTCATTTTGTGACGTGTGCGAATAAGCACTTAAATCAACAGTTCAGCTGTCCCAGATGGCTCCCTCGCTCAAACCCTGTCACGTCAGGGTGTGAGACGACACACTGTGTGGCTTGAAAGATTGTGAGGTGCACAGAGTAGCACAGCAACTGAGAGAGATGACACTTGTGCTGTCACCTCTGACTGATACATCCCACTGACATCATATAACCCATGGAAGTGATGAATAATCACCAATGAAGGAATACACAAAAAAACAGTTCCTATTTATGTTGAATGAACATTACAGGAAGAAACTGAGACACACTAAATCAAGAAGAACTGCGGTAACATCTCCAAGATGCTTGAAGAAACTTACCTGCAAAGCTTCCTGAAAAACTTTGTGCAAGTGTACCGAGGACAAATGCTGTTTTAAACGCAAAGTGTCACACCAAATATTGATTTGATTTAGTTAATAGAAGTTAAGTTAATTGATGATTAAAATCTATTTATGACATTATTATCGAAAGCATCCTGATTTTTACACAAGTGCCTAACTTTTCACAGTACTGTAGCTTTGCAGGTAGGTTTCTTCAAGCGTCTTGGAGACGTTGCCGCAGTTCTTCTGGATTTAGTCTGTCTCAATTTGTAATCACAGACAGACTCGATGATGGTGAGACTGATATTTCCTACTGATACAGTAAAAGATATGGATAACATTTTTCTGGGGTGAAACTACTAACGTGCCTAAGACTTTTGCACAGTATATATACTGTATATGCAGTGCATTTTGTCTCCACAGGTCTTCACTCGGGAGCTCAAAGTGCCAAAGTTTTTCACTCTGCAGTCCACCTTCCTGGAAAAAGTCAGCTCCAACTTGCTTTTTAGGGTACCTACATTCACATTTATTTATTTAGCAGACACCCCTCTCCAGGGGGAAATCAATACAATTATAGGGCTATCAGCTGGGTGCACATGTTTGGATTTTCTGTCTTCGTCATAACAGAGAACCCATGAGCCACTGATCAAGTCAAAGACTTCTGACATTACCCACAAAATGAGATTAATGCACAACCTCTCGCTTTCTCACGTGGCTGACACCCAGAGGTGAGAAATGTACACATGTTCATCATCTAATTTAAATGTATAGACATTTGATATTATTATACATTTTTATGTGAGCAGAATCATGGCAAAAAATGGAAAATGGAGCTTACAATGCACAGATGGTTTCAGCATCAATGAATTGGTTAGTCACACAACACAAGCTTTCTCAGCAATACAAATTCACATCAGTGAACTTTTTATAAAAGGACTAGTTTAAACAAAATGAAATTTACTCACCATCTTGTTATTTGGACACATTATGTTTTCTTTCTTCGTGAAACCCAAAAGGAGATTTAAGACAGAATGTCCAAGCTTTTGTTTTGATCCATGATATAGTTTTGATGAGTTATCTTAACAAATGTAACAAATTTTGTTAAGATAAATATGGGTTCTGATAAATAAAAGAATGGAAAAAGAACATAAAAAGTATCATGAAAGTAGATTAATGCACTCTATTCCATGTCTTCTGAAATTCAACACTATACCTTTTCGAAGAGTTTAGACCCTTAATAGTCACTAATGATCTCGCCCTCTACAACCCTCTATCAAATCCAATTCCACTCAATTCACATTTTTGCTCACTTCAAAAATTGTGCCTTTAGATGTGTAAATGATGACTAAATGTTAATTTTGGGGCACCTTTTCCTTTGCCTAATGTGCTTTTTTAGTTCACTTATTGCTCAACATCAAAACTGTTTTTATTTTGAGGAGATGAAGCATGAAAGTTCTCACAATGTCCAAATTCGAAAGACCAGATGCCCTGCAGAGTCTGACCCTACAGTACACCAGATTGATCAGAGTAAACCTGAGAACCCAGCATCCTTAAGTGAACGTTCAAATGCACATTTCTCACCAAGGTCAGGAACATGAATGAAGAGTGTTTAGGAATGTGTCAGTCATTTTCACTTTCAAACTTTGTAATATTTCATTCATGCACGTAGTTTCCAGCCAGCTGGGAAACGCACAGAGGAATCCCCATCTAGTTGTGCTGGAGATCCTCATTTATCATATACAGATGTGCCTCTATGCTTATCTGACATCTGTACTGGTCATGTTGTTGAGGTACTGTATGTGTTTTAATCGTTTAATATAATGCACTTATTGTGTACATGTTTTTACATTGTATTTATTTAATAAAAAAATAACCTGTATGTAATTACAATAATTAATTGTATCTATAACTACACTGTTGATCTATAACTTCCACAAATAAACCTGACCATACCACCAAACCTGTCCCTAACCGTACCCGTATCCCACCTCAATAGCAGAAAAGTTGTTTTGCAATAAAACATGAACACAATAATGTATATGTAAGCATAATAGTTAAAGACACCTAAAAGTGTTAAGTATACAACTTAAGTATAAAGTTGTTTTTATAATGAAATTCAATCAAGCAAACCAACTATATAATACAACTACAATATTAAATCAAAATTTAAGTAAACTGCTATTTTACTTTGTTTCAGGTGGAAAACTGTGACGTGAAAATGTGGACAAATTATACATAGACCACTGTGATGATCTGTAACTTTAATGCTGTTAAGAGAATGGGGAAAATGTGTCCTACAAATTATGTAATTGTAATTTTCATTGCATTGTTTCATTTGCTATGAATTTACTTAATAAATAACAATATGATAATCTAGATGTTACAGCCTAGGCCTACGCTTTACGCACTTTCTGTTATGTCATAGACTACTGTTTTTATCATGTCTGGATGAATGTTAAAAGTTCAAGCCTGTCTTTTGTACACATAATTTGGTATTCAGATGCTTTTAAAATACAAATAATTCCAGAACGGTTTTGTTGTTCCTATGAAATCTCAAGCATTTTTACCGGAAGTGTTGTCGCCTAGATGACGCTTTCACGCTATTTTATGAACACCCATTGTCCTGGAACGCGTCGAGTCGGATGGCGTTTCCTCTGTTTTTGACACCTCTGGAGAAAGATTCCCACGGGCTTTAAACTCATAAACATCTACTATAACGTTTCATCAGCACGGCCATGGACTTACACAGCCATTGGGTGTATAATTATTTTATTAATCTTTAACAAATCTAATTTTCTGAACGTTTTAAAAATGATCTAGGCTAGCTACTCGATAAAATAAACGTAGCCAAATAGTTATGCTTTTTGTTTTTGTTTAGCATTTTCCCCACAGTGGCATTCAGCAGATAACATAGCCTACATCATCTTACAGGCATGATCATTTTAATGTTTGAAATAAAAACGAACAATGTATTCCCACAGTTTTAAGTAGGCCTGAAGACGTAGGTAGCCTATATGTCTTTTTTAAAAAGTCAGTTTGTGAATACATTTTCCAACAATGTAACCCTATATGATTTGACCTGCATTGATTTTTATAATCAAGTTTTTGTAAGAAAATCGTCAATAGATGTGTTTTTAAATGTGCCGTGTGTGAATATACCGGTATGTGTAAATATTTACGCATTTCTTTACACCAGATCTCAGAACCAATGACTGGTCAGAACGCACACATCAAAGCGGAGACCAGCCAATCAGAGCTTTCCTGAGCAAGGCATGGAGAGCGTTTTACCTGGGTAGTATTTAATTGTATGCATCTCTTCTAGTCTTGGGCGTATTTTGTACTGAAGAGCTCGCGCAGTTTGGATATTTATTTATTTATCGTGTTGGAGCCGATTGGATAGGAGAATGGCATCTGGGACTAGTGACTGTCTGGAAAAGAACATCCAGTATCGGGTGGATCATTTATTAACTGCAGTAGAAAATGAACTTCAAGCTGGCAGCGAGAAAGGAGATCCAACAGAAAGGGACCTTAAAGTCAGTTTGGATGAAAATGAACTTTGGCAGAAGTTCAAAGAACTGACGAATGAAATGATAGTGACCAAGAATGGCAGGTATTTTTTTTTTAGCCAGAAGAAACATTATTCACATTATCATAAGCAATAGAAATACACTCTAAAAAGTCAAAATGTGCAATTGTTATCTAAACCATTATTGAACTGTTGATTAGTTGATTGCCATATTAAATAATATTTATAAAAAATCCAGGTTTTGTCACGTCAAATTTTAGGTTTCTATTTTTTTGTCAACTTATTGCCATAGTAGGCTAGCCTAGCCTAGTCTATATATATAAAAAAATCCTCATTCTTCTTTAACTTCTCATTAAATTTATTAATTTTAGTGGAATTTAATTGTTTAATTTATTTGAAAGACAAATCAAATACGATGATGCCTCTAACTCTAAGTCGAAATGTCTCTGTTGTGATCAGGCGCATGTTCCCAGTGCTAAAGGTGAATGTGTCCGGTCTGGATCCAAACGCCATGTACTCCGTCTTACTGGATTTTGTGGCAGCAGACAATCACAGGTGGAAGTATGTGAACGGTGAATGGGTACCGGGTGGCAAACCCGAGCCACAAGCCCCGAGCTGCGTCTACATCCACCCAGACTCACCAAACTTCGGTGCGCACTGGATGAAAACCTCAGTCTCCTTCAGTAAAGTCAAACTCACCAACAAATTGAACGGAGGTGGCCAGGTTTGTGGACGTTGTCATGCGAAACCAGTTCATATTGTTATAAGCTTATTTAACATCGAACTACATACAATCGAATTACGTTTAAAGGTCCAGTAAATTGCTTGTACTATAGACAAATATAATAATAATAAGTGGAAAATATGTCCTAATTTTTTTTCCATAGATTATGCTGAACTCGCTACACAAATATGAGCCACGTATCCACATAGTGCGCGTTGGTGGTCCACAGAGAATGATCACCACTCATTCTTTCTCTGAGACACAATTCATAGCAGTTACTGCCTACCAGAATGAAGAGGTAACGCGTTTTATTTTTCTACAATATGATTTTATAAAGCATGTCAACAAATGAACAATTATATGGTGCATAATGACATTGGATAACATCTGCAATTTGCTCCTTAAGGTTACTGCTCTCAAAATTAAATACAATCCATTCGCCAAAGCTTTCCTGGATGCCAAGGAAAGGTATGGCTATTTATTAGATTATAAATATAAGGGGTTCACTTTATTTTGATGGTCCTTTTAACACATTTTGTTGTCTATATAAGTAACATTACACCTGTCTACTAACTGTCATTAGAATGTTAGTAGAATATTAGTAGACTGCCTTGTGTTAGAATAAGTTGACATGTAGTTGCAAAGATACTTATAGTCAGCAGAATGTTCAAAAGGTACCAGCAAAATTAATAAAGTGTTACCATAAAAAGTAATACATGTGTATTATAAATACATGAGTGGGGCTAGTTGTCACTTTTTACTCCAGTTGATATATTTTTTTATGTTTGAAAGTAATGTTTTGTGTAGACAGACACCTAGCTGTTGTCGTAAACTGTATACAGTGTATATGTATATATATATATATATATATATATATATATATATATATATATATATATATATGGCCTGAAAAAATTATAACAAATTATGGAAATGTATTGGAATTTCACTGTGGAGGATACATTTCCATTAAAAATGTTTTAAACCAATTTACAAATCCAACTATAAGAGAAAACAAGCATTTATATAATTGGTATTTTAACTCATAACTTTCACCATGGACAAATGTTCAATGTAACAATTATCCCCAATCCCCCTCTATGTGAATATTGTTGAGGACTTGAATTGTATGATATATAAAGGTATCTTCCTTTCCCCCCCAGAAGTGATCATAAGGACATAATAGAGGATATCAGTGAAAGTCAACACTCTGGCTATTCTCAATGTAAGAACAAAATTACATTTATAAATCATCTCAATAATCATAAATGTCATTCATTCGGATTGAAGCTATCTCACAATTCTTTATTAAATGTGGACTGATCCTGTCCAGTTTATGTTGTGCAGCAGTTTTAATAATTTCAGTTAAGTGCAAAACGAATTTCCCATTGACTTTTCCTGTTGGTCTAGTCAGTAGCTGGTTTCTGCCAGCCACAGGGTCTCTCTGTCCTTCTGCAAACCCTCACGCACAGTTTGGCAGCCCGCTGTCTCTATCCTCACCCCATGGCTGTGAACGTTACTCGACTCTGAGAAGTCACCGGTCTATGCCATATCCCAGCCCATATGCCCACCCGACTGCCTCTCCCAGTAAGTTCCTCCCTTCCATATTATCCAGCTTCTGCAAAACATACTTTCTGAAATAGACACCGTGCTAAATTGTGTCTCATATCTCATTCATGCTTCAGCATATTCAAATATGGTTGAATTGGATCATCAAAGGTCAGCAGCAAAGACATTGTTTCATAAAGTGAGAATAAATGCATAAAGTATATTTTTGTAGTTTAGCATGTAATTATTGTTTGCATAGTATTCTGAGTTTGCATTTCAATGCTTTTATTCACTACAATAACCATCATGTTCATACAACGCGCACAACGCCTCTGCACCTTACTCACAAATTTCTCTCAACATGGGGACAAGAGAGGTGTCAGTACAGTAAATACATGGGAAAACAAAGTAACTTGCATTACTTATTTGAAAAAGTTACTCAGATATTTTGTAAATGTAAAAGTATTGCATTACTTTACAGTTGCTTGAAAAAAAGTGACTTACGTGTAATGCGTTACCCCCAGCATTGAATACCGTATATACCCGAATATAAGACGACCCTAAATATAAGACTTATTTTTGGGGGAAAATAGATTTTTGTGGAAAAAATAGATCTCGAGCCGCGCAAGAAAAAGCGCCGTTCGCAAAGGATGCCAGAGCGGACGGAGAGAAGCGAGACCATTTTTCAGCCTATTTTTAAGGACAAAAACCTCGTCTTATATTCAGGTATATACGGAATACGACATTGCTATCTGTAATGATAGGAGTACCCAGATAAAATATTTAATCTTTTGGAATGGTTGGAAATTATGTGAATGTGTAAATAAAGCGAACCTACCATATTCCCAAAATGCATGTCAAACTCACTTGTTATATAGAGATGAAGTTTGTGAACTGAGGCGCTCTAAGATGCTGAAAACACTGTAAACATGGTAACACTCTTCACTCTGAAACAGGCAGCGCTACAGTCTATATATCGTACTTATTTAATTAAATCGCACACTTTAATTTGATAATTGAACTAAGCTATATTGCGATTTCACTTTTACACAATTTACAATTTTTAGACAATTTACACCTGTCCCTATTTACTTTACTGAATGGAAACAAGATGTTGGAAATGCTGCTGAAGGTTTGGCCTTTAAAGGGTTTGTTCACCCAAAAATGAAAATGATCCCATAATTTACTCACCCTCAAGCCATACTAGGTGTATATGACTTTCTTCTTTAAGCCAAACACAATCGGAGTTACATAAAAAAATATCCTGGCTCTATAGTAACTGAGATTTTGCAGCCCCAAAAAGCTCATCCATCCACCATAAGAGTGCTCCATACGGCTCCAGGGGGTTAATAAAGGCCTTCTGAAGCGACAAGATGCGTTTTTGTAAGAAAAATATCCATAATTATAATTTTATAATCTGTAATCACTAGCTTCCAGTAACGTCCGTTCGCGCGTTCACGAGAGAGTCGAGTGAGAGTAGACGCCGCTCGCGATTCAAACAAACAGGGCTGGGCAACAAACTCAAGCTCCCCCACATTTCTTTTTAAAAATTCTCATTTTAGACTTCTAATTCGTGACTGTTGTTTTGTTTTGCTCTATCCTCTGCGCTTCCGAGTTCGTCAATACGTCATGCGTCAGGTCAGAGGTCACTCTTCGGCTAGAACTTGACTCGGCCGTTACTAGAAGCCAGTGATTATAGCTGATAACGTTATAATTATGGATATTTTGCTTACAAAAAACGCATCATGTCGCTTCAGAAGGACCTTAACCCTCTGGAGCCGTATGGATTACTTTTATGGTGGATGGATGTGCTTTTTTTGGTTAAAATCTCAGTTACTATTCACTCCTATTATAAAGCTTGGAAGAGCCAGGATATTCTTTAATATAACTCCGATTGTGTTTGGCTGAAAGAAGAATGTCATATACACACCTAGGATGGCTTGAGGGTGAGTGAATTATGGGATAATTTTCATTTTTGGGGGAACTATCCCTTTAATCTTGTTTAATGAGGGTTATAATGAGAATTTCCTTCTTAGCCTGAACTGTTCCATTAATGAGCCACTCAAACAAGTTCTACTCACCGCAGAGTGTCTGACATTCCTGCAGCTTTTGTGTTTGAGTTCACGCTCATAAACAGGGGAACTTTGGTGGTGGAATGCTTGAACGCTCAGCCACATAACCTCCAGGTGTAGGAGAGAGATCTCTTTTGCAAGTTTGAAACTGATCATGTGACTAGATCCTCTGTGTTGTTCATATTGCAGCTGGTTACTCTGAAAGCTCAACCTGTCTCTCCATGTTGCCGTCTCATGATAACTGGTCCAGTCTGCAGATGTCCTCCCACTCCGGTGTGCTCCCAATGGGCCACGGCTCTCCCCCAAACTCAAACTCTAGGTGAGAATGAATCACACACTTTCACTACTACTTAATTGCAACCAAGTGGTTTTTATTTATGAAGTAATTAACGACACAATACATCATTTTCCTTGTTTCTTTCTTTAGCTCTTAAACATCCACATAGGAAAGTAAAATTACAAACACGATCTCTTTAAAGGGGTAGTTCACCCAAAAATTTAAATTAGCCCATGATTTACTCACCCTCAAGTCCTCATAGGTGTTATATGACATTCTTCTTTCAGACGAATACAATCGGAGTTATATTAAAAAATGTCCTGGCTCTTCCAAGCTTTATAATGGCAGTGAATGGCTGTTTCTGTTTTGAAGTCCATAAAAGTGCATCTATCCTTCATAAAAGCGCATCTATCCATCATAAAAGTGCATCAATCCATCATAAAAGTGCATCTATCCATCCTAAAAGCGCATCTATCCATCATAAAAGTGCATCTATCCATCCTAAAAGCGCATCTATCCATCATAAAAGTGCATCTATCCATTATAAAAGTGCTCCACACAGCTCTAGGGGATTAATAAAGGCCTTCTGAAGTGAAGCAATGCGTTTGTGTTAGAAAAATATAAATTTTTAACATGTTAAGTTAACATTTTTAACAAAGTAAAATTATAGCTTCCAGCCAAACGGCCATACAAAGTCTACTTGCTCCGCAACTTACGAAACTTGCGACGTCAGAAGTAGCGTAGTGCATCATGGTGTAGTGTAAATATCAGCAGTACGCCGCATTACTCGCGTAAGACTTAAAGGGTTAGTTCACCCCAAAATGAAAATCCTCTCAGTAATTACTCACCCTCATGTTGTTCCAACCCCGTAAGACTTTCGTTCATCTTCGGAATTAAGATATTTTTGATTAAATCTGAGAGCTGGATCACTCCTCCATTCTTAAGGGATCGAAACTTGCCGGCCCAGAAAAGTTACCTTTTCACATTTACACTTTTTAAAAGCCCTCCCTTGCAGACCTGTGTGTTTCCAGTTTGAAAACTGCTAATCTGACCAATAATGTTTTCCTCTTGGTTGTTTTGTATCCTGTTTGCAGTCAGTACACCAGCTTGTGGTCTGTAGGGAACTCAGCTTTGACCCCAGTGTCTCAGGCTGGAAGTATGGCCAGCAGTCTGGGCTCCCAGTTTCTCCGCGGCTCTGCCAGTCACTACAGCAGCCTGGCTCACCCAGTCACAGCGCCCTCTTCTGGCTCTCAGGTATACGACTCCACGGCTGTGACTGAAGTGCACGAGGCCTCACAATATGACAGTTCAGCCCATGTCCGCCTTCCTACAGCCTGGACCCAAGTAACACCATCCTCCTTATAGGAAGTTGACCCAATGGAGTAAATTAAAGCTGTGTACAGCTGAACTATCATTGCTTTTATGCAATAGCTTTTGATGCAGATATATTAGATCAACTGTTTTCTCTGTTTTTTGCAGTGGAATTGACTCAAGTTAGCGTTATTTGCATGCATTACATACAAAACTAATTTCGAGATTTGTATGCTTTACATTCAAAACTAAAGGCTTATTAAGACCTAACCGAAATCTATCTTTCTTTTTTCCAAACCCCTTATTGTAAACATGTTTACAGTCCTGCTAATTCATGTGGGGGTTTTAAATATGCAAGTCATTGTTTTAAAGCATATTGTACATAATGCTTATTTATTTTGTCTTCTTGTGAAGGATACTATATGTGCACAATTGTGAAAAAAAAAAACTTTTGTAAAAAGAATTAATGTTTATATTTTTGGATTTGAATTCAGCATTGATAAAAATGTTAATGCTCTTCAAATTGGTTTATTAAACACATTTCTGTCAATTTATTTAACAACTTGATTTTTTTTTCTTGCTGCGTGTGTAGTGAGTTAAAGACCTGGTTTCACAAACAGGGTTTAGATTAAGCCAGGATTAGGCCTTAGTTCAATTAGGATATTTAAGTAGCTTTTATAAACATGCCTTGGGGGAAAAAAACCCTGATTTTAAGAAATGCCACTGCAAGTTGCTTTCAGTTAAAACAATTTTAGTCTGGGACTATAGGCTTACTGTGAAACCGTGGGAATATGGTTTAAAGATAAACTTAGTTTGAAGAAAATTGAGATATGAACATTGCTATTTGAACCATATAGAGAGTTTTTACAAGTTACAATTGATGTAAATTGATCAAAGAAACATGAATTCCTTTTTTTCCACTGTACATATGGCATTATTGTATTTTTTATTATTTTTTATCTTTGTTACTGGAGCTATTTTATATCAAATATAGAACAAATAGAAAAAAAATGCATGTAACAATGCATCCCATAGATGGTTAAAGCTTTTTTAAATGTCCATTTTTTTAAATAACATCAATATAGTCAATTGTGTCAATTAAAAAAAATTAAATCTATCTTCATAAATAATATTATTTAAAACATTTTACAGACATTTTGTCCCTTTTATGGCTTACTTTCAGCATTAAACTAAGTGTTGAACTTTTAAATGGATCTAGATCCTTCTTCTGAGATCGCTTGCACCTCATGGATACTCAGACGTCATTGCACCTTTTTTCCAGGATTTTATATGCGATTCTGCACCCATGTAGGTCAAAGCTGTGTTGTCCTCTCTCATGTGAAAATTCCACTCACTTAGGTGAGGAATAGCATCTATCTTCAGACACTTCAGCAGTTTAACAGTGGGGCCAGAGGGACGCATGAGTGATTGCCAAAACTTTCCAGTGTCAACACAGGAAAAATACTGAGGTCTCTAAGAAATATTAGTCATTTTAATTCACACATCCATGAGAATGGAATAATTAAATACTGAAATGTTGTTCTCTCGCTGTCGTTTTATTTTTTATTCTCTTTAAAATGCATATCATTTCTCCATAACTGTCTATCTGACAAAACAAATTATAGAATAACCAGAATTGTATTAAGAAAAAAAGTAACCTCTTTAATGTAATATAATATAAATTACATTTATTTGTACAATTGTTGGCACATTTAAACCAACTACCATAAATGTGACAGACGCACTTGCATTAATAGTAATAATTACTAATGTGTTGTTCAGTTAAATATGATTGTAATGACTTCTAAATCAATGCGATATGAATAACACAATATAAGCTCTGTTACAGTTAATGATGAACTGGTGTGCTTGGAACCATTTGTTATTAATTATCCACATTGACCACAAGATGGCAGGAAAGCAAAAATATTTAAAAAGCACAAAGCTGGACTCAAATTTGCCAAAATGGTCTACAGAATAGAAAGATGTATAAAGAAATGTACAAACATTTCAAATAGTTATCATATTGCAAATAATAATAAATAAATAAAAACATCCTGCATTTTTAATAAAATGTTGTGTAAAAAAAAAAAAAAAAAAAGATTGCTGTTCACCAATGAATAGTGAAGCTTTCATGGTCAAGCTTTTTTGGTAAAGCTGCTCTAATGACGAATATAAGACCATCACATTGCAAACCCTCTCATATGGTTTTGCAAACTCCCCAAAAAGAGAGTTGACTTTTGTTAAACATGGATAAAACTGAGATCATTTTTATTGGAACTCCATCACTGGCTAGCAATATCCCTACTGATTTCGCCTTGCTGGTACTCACTTCAAACCCCCAAGTACCGTTAAAAATCTAGGTGTTATTTTCAAATCCTTTCTCTCCTTTCAAGCTCATATTAACTCTATCACCAAATCTGCATTCTTTCAACTATGTTGCATTGCCCAGCTCCGTCCCTTCATAACTGTCTGTCATCCATGCATTGTGAAACTGTCATCCATGCATTTGTCTCATCATGTCTTGATTACTGTAACTCCCTTTTCATTGGTTTACCTGCCAGCTGCATTTCCAGATAACAATATATTAAAAAAATTACTCAAAACTCACTTATTTTCTGAATGTAATCATTCTTAAGTTGTGTTCTGTATTTGTTTGTGCCTGATTCCATTCTGTTCTATGATGCCCTGTCTATATAATGCTCTTTTACTGCTATTGTCATCATTGTCTACCCTATTGGTGTTATCATTTCCTTGTTGCATGTACATTGTAATGCGTCCTTGAGCACTGGAAAGGCGCTATATAAATAAAAATAATTAATTAAATAAAACTTATTATTATTATTGTTCATGCCTGATAGTACAGGCTGGGTTTGTTGTGTTCAATAAAGTGAGAGTACACAATTATATCAGCGTTAACCGTTCATTCTCTGAATACAGCCAGGATAGAATGAGTACAGTCAGTATCCACCCTAAATTTTCTAGTCAAGTCAAGTAACCTTTATTTATATAACGCTTTATACAGATTGTTTCAAAGCAGCTTTACAGGGATAAACAGGAGAATAATGATTAAATGATGTAAACAAAGTTCAATTCTGCAGTAAAGCAGCTCTAAAAAGAAAATAGTGTCACTGTTTAGCTGAGGACAGTTCAGTGTTGAGTCAGTTCCATTCAATAACTGTTTAAACATCATCAAATACAATGAAATTATTTATTAGTTATTAGTTGTCAATTCAGCTATAAAGCAGCTCTGTAGAAAACAGTGATATCATTGTCCAGCTCAGTTCAGTTCTCATCAAATAGTGTTAGTACAGTCAAATCAAATAGTGTTAGTACAGTCAAACCAATAATATTGCTGAATATTATGTGTCCCAAACTAATCAAGTCAGAGACGGCAGTGGCAAGGGAGAAAAAACCTTGGGAGAACCAGGCTCAGATGGGGGGCCAGTTCTCCTCCAGCCAATGAACGAACATAGTGTGATTATGATTCCAGGCTTCATTATAATTCAGATTGTAGAATGGTATCATTCATAATTCGTCTATTGTGATCTCAAAATTCCGGCCAGTTGATACTAGAATATTAAAAATAACTGCTGGCGGTAAATCATTTTCCTATTTAGCACCAAAACTTTGGAACAGTCTTCCTAACATTGTCCGGGAAGCAGACACACTCTGTCAGTTCAAATCTAGACTAAAACACATCTCTTTGACCTAGCATAACACATTATAGTCTTATATAATTCAATGTTAGGCTGCAAAGATTAGGTCAGCCGGAACCGGGAACGCTTCCCATAAATCCTGATGTACTCGTTAAATCATAAGAAGAATGGCATCTACGCTAATATTAGTCTCTCTGTTTATCCCGAGGTTTACCGCAGTCCACCGGATCCAGGCCATATCCAGATCTGATGAAGGACATGCGCCTGGACACGACGACAATACAGTCCTGAAGTGTCAACTAGGCTCGTCCTGATTTTGCCAAGTGGGAGCTGTCCTGAGACCAATATCTTTATGATGACCCTGGGACAACAACTGCCTCAGCCAATCAACGTTTATGATGTCATCACCGTGTGCCCCCCATCGAGTCCGCCAAATTTAAAAAAAAAAAAAAAAAAAAAAAACACACCCCTGCCAACAAGTGCACAAGTTACAAGGTAAGACCAACGGCTTTTTACATTCTCCTATTAATTAACAGCAGTCTTTTACTATGACTAAACATATTTGTTTTTTGAATAACGTTAGCATTTTTCCACCATTGAAGTAATATAACGCTATAACGCATATGTTGACGTGCTTAACAGTAAAATTGCCAGGCAAAATTGATCAGCATCGCTGACGTTCTGGCTCAAAAAATAAAAACAATAGAAGATGAAAATACTGTTTAGATGTTTAACGTATAGTTTTTATAGTGTGCCTAGCTACAAAAAAAAAGACGACTCAGGGAGAAACGTTTGAATTAGCTTATTTCTGATGTTGTCCTCAGACCATCATATTAATATGTTAACCTCAAGTCATCACTGATTTATTCTGTTACATGATGTTGTCCTCAGACCATCATATTAATATGTTAACCTCAAGTCATCACTGATTTATTCTGTTACATGATGTTGTCCTCAGACCATCATATTAATATGTTAACCTCAAGTCATCACTGATTTATTCTGTTACATGATGTTGTCCTCAGACCATCATATTAATATGTTACCCTCAAGTCGTCTCTGATTTATTCTGTTACATGATGTTGTCCTCAGACCATCATATTAATATGTTAACCTCAAGTCATCACTGATTTATTCTGTTACATGATGTTGTCCTCAGACCATCATATTAATATGTTAACCTCAAGTCGTCTCTGATTTATTCTGTTACATGATGTTGTCCTCAGACCATCATATTAATATGTTAACCTCAAGTCATCACTGATTTATTCTGTTACATGATGTTGTCCTCAGACCATCATATTAATATGTTAACCTCAAGTCATCACTGATTTATTCTGTTACATGATGTTGTCCTCAGACCATCATATTAATATGTTAACCTCAAGTCATCACTGATTTATTCTGTTACATGATGTTG